CTGGGGTCTTAGCTGTGCTGCTGCTGATGAAGTACAGAGAGCTGCTGCTCTCCATATCACAGTAAACACGAAGAGGATGCGGGGCACAACGCGGCAAAATCCTGCAACAAAAAAGTTGAATTGAATTGAGTTGTATTGAGTTGTATTGATGATGATGAGAGTTTGTTTATAAAGATATTAATGTTTCATGTTTTTTATTTTTTTATTTTTTTATTTCTTCTTTATACTGCTCAAGTACCAGTAAAAACCAGAAGGTGCCTCCGGTGTATTCGCTATTTTCGCTGCGAAGCAGTCTTCAGCTGGGTGGTTTGGGGTATCGCCTGAGAGAAAAAAAACAAAAATAAGAGAAGTAAATTATTTATATTAATATTTTTAGATGAAATACCCGGCAAATATCCTAGTTGAGGTGCACCAGAGCCCCCACTGGGGCGTACTAGCGATGCTATAGATTGCATAGAACCTAGAATCTGAGTGGTTTCGTGTTTGAGGGTTTCTATGCGTTTCTTGAATTCATCTTTTTCAGAAACACAAATTTTTGCTGCTGGCTCATTCGCCGCGAGTATTTTTGTTTTATTACTTAGATATTTAGATCTATGAATAATATCTTGTTCTATTGATTTATTTTTTTCTGAAATTTCTTCGTCAAACTCGTGCACAGAAACCAAAAAATATTTGTCTCGTGCATCGTCAGAGTTCGCCGCTTCTTTGCAGTCACCCACTGCAGAATCCATACGACTCGCCAGTGTATATATTTCACGAATACCGTATACAAAATTTTCATTTATTTTTCCGTTTACTGCATGCGGATGCGNAGTGTATATATTTCACGAATACCGTATACAAAATTTTCATTTATTTTTCCGTTTACTGCATGCGGATGCGTCATCAGCAGCCGCAGATGCTGAGCTGTTGAGCCCGGTAACATATCGAGAGTAACGTTCGATGGATTGGCTTCGTTCTGCGCTACATCGCTGGAAAGCAAACAAATATATATTTTATTTATATTTATATCTTCTCTTTCAACAATAAATATATTAAAATAAATGAAACTCACGAATATAAACTCCCGTCGGTGCTCAGCTGCAATTTGTATGCCATAGGGGGGTACTCCCAGTCGATACGCACTGCAGCTAGACGCGCTTTCTTTCCTGAAATCAAAAAAATAATAAAAATAAAAAGAAATAAAAGATGAATATTATTTGCATTTCCTTTTTTTCAGGTTTTTTTTTCATGTTTCCCGTCTGCTGAAACGTGTACATGTACGCCTCTCTCACCCAAGTCTAGATCAAAGGTAACCACGTGCTCCTCAGCATCAGGGAAAGCACCAGAAGCCCAAAAGGTATTCACATCTCTATCGAGTGCGAGAGGGGGCCCATGCTCTCCTGCTGCAGTGCTGCTGGAGCGGGCAGAGGCCCCCGTTTCAGCAGCAATATCTCCCGTGCCTGGCTCTGAGCCGTGTACTGCTTTCTGTGTTAAACAGTAGAAACCTGAAACCCCCAAACGCAGCTGAGAATTCGCCTCAGCAGCCCATGTTGAGCGGCCATCTCCCTCCTCAAGCGCCGACGTACAGCTNGCAGCTGAGAATTCGCCTCAGCAGCCCATGTTGAGCGGCCATCTCCCTCCTCAAGCGCCGACGTACAGCTCCCTAGAACAACAGAGCCGCCACCTGCAAAAGAAGGGGGTTAATGTTATTCTGCTTTCGTGTGGTTTTTATGCATTTCATTGCGAGTTTATTTTTGTTAGCTTGTTTTGTTTTTCGTTGCGTTGTTTGGGGTTTTGTTTGTTCAGTTGGCTGTGTGTTTAAGCACAGGGCGAGATATTATATTATTATATTTTCTGTTGTTTTGTTTTCTATTTTTTTTTTGTTTTGGTTGTGGGTTTAATTAGAAGAGGAGTTTCATGCTGTTTTTCTTTTTTTTTTGTTGTTTTGTTTGTGGGTTTAATTCAAGGAGGAACCAGTTGCGCTGCTTTGTTTTTTTTTTGTTTTTTTGTTTCGTGTTGTTTTTTTTGTTTTTTTTTGTTTGTGTGTTTAATAACAGGAGTCCAGTTGTATTATTTAATTTTTTTTGTTATTTTCCTTTTGTTTTTTTTTGTTTTATTTTGTTTTTTTAATAGGGAATGCTCGAACCTTCTGTTTTTCCGTCTTGTAGTATAATGCATTTCTTTGGGTTGCTCCT